ATTCTTTTCCAATATGTTCTGTCTTATATACTCCGCATCCAATGTGTGGGTGTGTAAAAGGGGGGGGGGAGAGGGGAGGGGCTCATGTGACTTACTGTGACACTGGTAGGTGCGTCTGTCTGTACGCCGGGACAGTTGAGGAGGATCCGAACAAGCCCTTCGTGACCGGACTGAGCGGCGAAGTGGAGAGGTGTCATACCTGCCTGAGGACACAAGCAAAACAATGAAAATATTCAGTTATTCAAATTGTTGTTCTGGGTGTACTTGTGTGGACGTGCGCACGTTTGTAGATGTGTGTATATATGTGCTTGCATTGTATGTGTATGTGGTTGGCGGGTACTTTGATATGGCTTGCTCCTTCTTTCCCATACACGAGACCATTGTTAAAGAGGTGCTTGAAGGAAAGATGTGGGACGGGAGAGCCAGAGGAAGGCAAAGAATAACGTGGATGGTCAACGTAAGACCATGGACAGGACTGGATATTCCAGAATGTGCAACGGCGGCTCGATACGTTGAAGGATAGAGGGTCATTGCACGTCAACTTCTGAGTCAGAAATGACACCTCCAGGTATCTAGGTATCTTCTTGCCCATCAAACATCTGTCGTGCTTTTCTCTCCTCCTCTTCTTTGTATGTTACTTTCTAGTTACATCTCTGATTGTCGGCACTTATGATCCATTTGTTTTGCAAGTGCCATAAAAGTTTTGCTAAACTAAACTAGAAGCAATGTTTGCTTCCCGAGAAGCCGCGAATTTTTGAGTGTTCTAGGGTGTGCTGGGATAATAACAGTCAGTTATAAAGCGCACAGAGCATGCTGTAGAGCGTGGATATGCGCTATATGAATACAAGTAGTATTACAACATGTGTATCAACAGACAAAGAGGGGGGAAAAGGGGAGAAAGAGAGGGAGAGAGAGAGTGAGAGAGAGAGAGCGAGAGAGAGAGAGAGGGAGAGAGAGAGAGAGAGAGGGAGAGGGAGAGAGAACATAGTATTGCGTAAGATTCTATGAAAACATGCCGTGTCACCCATGTGACCTTTGACCTACCTCTGACGACCACTGTGAGCCGTAGGTGCTGGAGATGGGCGACTCGCTCTTGACACAGGCCGAGACAATGGTCAACATCTCTCTCACAAAGTCCGCCTTGCCGTAGTGGGCAGCTACATGCAGGGCCGTCAGGCCGGTCTGGTGGGAGACGATTGGGGATAGGTGAGTCAAGAGAATGATTTCTGGATATGTTGTTTAAGAGACAGAAAGAGAGAAGAAAAGAAAATAAGAGAGAGGGGAATATATAGGGATTGGGGGAGGGGGCAGAGAGAGAGAGAGAGAGAGAGAGAGAGAGAGAGAGAGAGAGAGAGAGAGAGGGGAGGGGGTGAAAGAGAGAAACTGGAAGAGACGGGGAAGAAACAGAAAGCAAGAGATAACAGACACAGGCAGGCAGACAGACAGACAGACAGACAAAGAAGTTTTTAAATATCAACCAAAAAGAAATAATGGAAAAAAGAACTTTCTAAATTAAAATTCTATTTTTAAAAGAAGAATTTAAAAACCCAGGACTATTTTAAAAAATGAGCATTTAAAAAAAGTATTGAAAAATTATTAATAAAAACTTAGAAAACGAAAAACAAGGCTATGTGTGAAACAATGCAAGTAACCTTCTCGCTAGCGGTGCGGAACGGTATAAACTCCTTGAGTCCGTTCATGACGTCAATATGTCCATGTTTGGCCGCCAGATGTAGCGCCGTCATCCCGTCCTGGGAAAGGAAATGAGCACAAGACTATATTGAGTATTGAGGGCACCGCCTGTTTCAGCTGTGGCAGCTTTCTTAATAAATAATACCATCCCCACAATCATACCCTCACACACACACACACACACACACACAAACATATACACACACACAAACATATACACACATACACACACAT